GTTTATCATTGTAAACTGAAATTTAGTCATTCATGATAAGGTTTCTTCATTCATTTCGAACACTTATAATAAACTACAATAAGCATAGTTTATGGATTTTTACTACATGAAAAAGGTTTTACTCTAAAAAACAAATGGATTTTTCATATACTACATGATAAACTATAATAGTAATAGTTTAAGGATTTCATATCACTAATTTATTCATAAAAGGTGATTTTACTTCCTCCATGGAAGAGGTTTTAATATCAAACTATGTGTAAACTAGTTAACTTAAGTTGTGGCAATTCTCTCCCCGTACGTTCGAGTACGGGATCCCAATTCCTGTAAGTTATAACCAGAGTCTCTTGTAAGGAGAGCGTGATAATTGTGTATAGATCTATATTGGGATTGACACCCCACACCTCGCTGCTAGCTACAGCCGGACCGGCAGGTCTGCGGGTGACAAGAGTCATAGTATCTTAACGTCTGAAAAACGTGTGCAGGTTATTTCTCGTCATAGTATGGTTATAGCGACTCACATAGGGAGTTAACAATCTTTCAAGTTTACAAGGAAAATTCTACTTTGAAAAGGGGTTTTATCTATTTAAAACTACAAATACGTTATAAGTACAAAACACACATATATTCTCGGTCCTGGGATTTAGGACTACATAACTTTTATAAGGAAAATATTGGATTTTCTTTGGAAACACATTACTATTAAGAACACTATAAGTACAAAACACACATATATTCTCGGTCCTGGGATTTAGGACTACATAACTTTTATAAGGAAAATATTGGATTTTATTTGGAAACATATTTCTATTAAAACTACATCTCATCTAGAATTGCTAGATTTCAGCTATAATTGCTAAGTGTATATGCTAGAGTTATATAAGAATCTAGTCTCAATCGACTTAGAATTGGTGGGCCCGCCTTATCTCCTGTTCCTTGTTTGGTTGTGGACCTAGGGCAGACCCATTATATTCAACGGTTTGTTTAACTTAAATTTTATATAACTTATATACGCTGGGCGATTATAGAAGGAATCTATGAGTCTTTCTAGGGTTCATTATCGCATAACATAGGAGCATTCATTTCATACTTAACAAATAAAATATTGGGTTTTCTGGAAACATACTTCGTCGCTTTTACAAGGAAAACGGTTTCTTTCTCAAACAAAACTCTTATGAACTCACCAACTTAATTGTTGACACTTTTCAAAACTACTTGTATTCTCAGGAAATCAGTGAAACAGGAAACCAACAGCATTTTGAGGATGGGACGTTAAATCGTCAAACAGTTCATTTTGTCATCATAATGTAATTGATTTTGAAACATGTAAACATATACTATGGTGTAACCTTTTCAATTATATTTGTGATGGTTGTATTTACTTTGAGCACTATTATACTCGTTGTTGTGATACTATACATGAAGTCCTCCACCCCGGGATGTTTCCGCCATCCTTGGTTTGGGGGTGTGACACGTAAGCTCGAAAGCTTAGTGAGTTCCCCCAAAATACCCGTACACACATAACCATACAAATACAGCAATGAACAGCATACTATGGGTCCAATCAACCGTCAGGTTGGAATACCCCAGGTCCTCAACCATCGGGTTGGAATGCCAACATACTATGAGTCCAATCATCCTCGGGATGGAATACTCTCGGCCCACAACCATCGGGTTGGAATGCCCACACACCTATACATACAATAACTACTATGGGTCCAATCATCCCTCGAGATGGAATACCCCAAGCCCTCAACCATCAGGTTGGAATGCCCACCTACTATGAGTCCAATCATCCTACCGGGATGGAATACTCCTGGCCCTCAACCATCAGGTTGGAATGCCCACCTACTATGAGTCCAATCATCCTACCGGGATGGAATACTCCTGGCCCAAACCCATCAGGTTGGAATGCCACCTACTATGAGTCCAATCATCCTACCGGGATGGAATACTCCTGGCCCACAACCATCGGGTTGGAATGCCCACATAATAGCAAACATATGCACCTATCAAATAATCATATAACAGTCTACAAGACAACATACTAGGGCCCTATCATCCTACCGGGATGGAATACCCTCTACTACTGCTCAACACGTGCACATATAACAGGTAAAATCCTACCAGCATATAGACAGTCAGACCAACTACAGGTCACTAAGCATAGCCACATCCAATCTACCAGAATACCGATCTAACAGAGCATACCATCATATAGCCATCATATCTACCAGGATACTGATCTAACAGAGCATACCATCATATAACCATCCTGTCTACCAGGATACTGATCTAACAGAGCATACCATCATATAACCATCCTATCTACCAGGATGCCAACTAACATATCACAACAGTAACTATCTCGAATAACAATCAAAGGGCCGGCCTTGGTGCCTTAGACCCTTGGGTATAGTGAGGATAACTCACCTTGCAACTGCCGAACCGAACCACGAAAACACAATCCCGAAGCACTGCCCCAAACTCCAACACCTATAGCCATCAATGATCCATTTACATAAATATCCAAATTACCATAATACCCTTGAAGGTCAAACTGGTCAAAGTCAAAGTCCTGGCCAAAGTCAACCTTCCTGATTGACCCTACTCGCCGAGTCAACCAGCTGACTCGCCGAGTTCCCAAACTCAGAGAACTCCCATATCACGACTCGACTTGCCGAGTCACCCCATGACTCGTCGAGTTCAACAATCTCTGAGTCCTACCATGTCCAACTCACTGAGTCACCACTCAACTCACTGATCTGAGTCTTAACTAGAAGATGTTGGGGTTTTGCGTCCCGACTCGCCGAGTCCAAGAACAGACTCGCCGAGTCCACGACAATCTTCAACAGACTCGTCGAGTTGTTCCTCCAACTCGTCGAGTTCATGCCTATCTTCATATGACTCGCCGAGTCCACCCAAGTGACTCGTCGAGTCTCTTTAGTCCTTTATTCATACAGAGGCTTTTTGAGTCATGCAGGGGCTCCAAACTGTAGATCCACTCTTCTAGGGTATGACTCTCACGTAAAGTTGCAAACTTTACGTGGAAACAAAGAGCTATAGGCCCAAATCAATCTAGGGCTAAGGTTTAAGACAAGGATGCTTCACCAACAAACCAAGGGCTGATACTTTGTGAGTTTCTGGACAAAGACAAGTCTAGATCTGAAGTAGCACCCTCAGATCTAGACCCCTAACCCGAAATAGATCCTTAACATGCCAAAATGGCCCCAAATCTCATTCTTGAATAGATATAAATGCAATAGAGTCAAGGTAACAACTTGTTACCTCCAAAATGTGCCCAAGCTGAAGTAGATTCTGGATCTACACCAATCCCTTGATGCTAGCCTCTTGATCTTCAAGCTCCTTTCTCAATATTCTTCCTCCAAAGCTCAAATCTCTTTAACAATGGAAGCTCGCACGATTTTTAGGGTTTACTGACTCTCAAGGGCAATACGGAGGCCGAAGGGAGGACATATGGTCCTTTAAATAGGGTGCAACCCTTAAGATTAGGGTTTTCTCTTTTCAGCACCAACTCGTCGAGTCCAGCTGCCGGCTCGGCAAGTTGGTCACTTAACTCACGACCAGAATCCGCTCCGACTCGACGAGTAAGCATACCTACTCGTCGAGTACCTTCTTCAATTTACACTTAAGTCCTTCAATCATACTTCTAAATTTTGGGATGTTACACGCTCCTTTCCTAGCAATGGTAGCGATCGAACCCAAAAGTCCTTCCATAAACGATCAACATCCCCTGAGAAACACAACACTTATGAACTCTGACTTAATTGATGAACTAATCATGATAATCCAGCTACCGATCTTCCAAGCGATACCCCTAAATTGTTTCCACCAATAGCCCACAACAAACTACCTGACCATCTAGATCCAAATCAACAAGATGTATCCCACTTATAACTCTCGGCATGCAAAAATGACATATAACATTCCTTGATAATAACAACCCAAACAATAACAGATAACTAAACCAAAGATAATGCTTAAATACCAACATATGATTCCAAAGCACATATATTCACGGATAATAAGACATGAAGAAAACTAAAGATAACGTACCCACGATAACATCTGATGAAAATCTGGCCTCCCCTAACTAACACTGCAATGCTCGGCTCCTCGCTGTTGGGGCTCCCGCTCAACCCTCACGACCGCAAGTGATCCTCAAAGTAACTGGAGCAGGTGCACTCACTGCTCCACCCCTCAACATCGGGACAATCGACCTTCTTGTGGCCCACCTGGTTGCAGTGAAAACACATCGGAACCGATCAACGGGGACAATCTCTACTAAAATGACCCATCTGACCACAACTGAAACATCTCCGACCTGTCTCCCGACATCCTCCCTCATGGGTCCTCCCACACTTGGCACAACGGTCCCGACTCTGATGGCCTCCCACACTTGCTATACAAGCTTATTACTTATTACAGTCCAAATTAAAACTTGATGAATTTGAAATGCCGAGATTTTAACATCAGTTTTTCACTAACTACTGTTAACCGTATATATAATTTTGTGAATTTTGCTTTTATTATAAAATTTAAATTTGTATTAAATTTCATCAGAAATTTCCCCCTCCTCGCAAAAACTTTATAGGGACCTTTTTTGTAAACTAAATAATTGCAGGGGCTAAATTAGTTTAAATATAAAATCTTTGTTGCATGGACTAAATTACAGGGACTAAAGTTGTCAAAATGTAAAACCTTTGTTGCAGGGTCTAAATCTACCAAAGTGTAAAATCTTTTTTTATAGGGACTAAATCTGCCAAAATGTAAAACCTTTGTTGTAGGGACTAAATCTGTTAAAATGTAAAACCTTTATTTACAGGAAATTACTCTATCAAAATGTAAAACTTTTGGTGCAGAAACTAAATATGTCAAAATATAAAATCTTTGTAGGACTAAATCTGCCAAAATATTTTATAAAATATTTGTATAAAAAATAAAATGAAAAAAAGGCACTGTGTTTATAAGGTCTTTGTAAATTATAGAGTATAGGATAATATAATTTTTTCTCTCCCACGCGCCATCCGTCTCATCACCGTTCTTCCATGGCCAAACGCCCTTGCTTTTCCGATCATTCCCCTAGGGTTTCAAAGCGTGATTACTATCACTTAAATATCGATTCGCTATTGGAGTCCTTGCTTGCTGTCTCCGATTCCGCTTTAATCGAGGCCTCATTCGATGGCCTCGTTGAATCTAGGTCCGCCTATTCCGATCAAAACGAATTTATACAACGTGCTCTCCATATCGGATCCGTCCTGCTCGAAGCTGGCAGGAGATCCGTTCGTAAACTCTATTCCGTCCATAATGCATCCTTCTGGCCTCTCCCCTCCTGACCTCACAATCAAGGTATTTCCATTTCTATTGTGGTCTGTTGATTTTTGATTAATTAATGCTCAACTGAAGTTGGTTAGGCACAATGGATTTTCCTTATGCTTATTCATACTTGTGAATGATGATTTGTAGGTTTTTTCTATGCTTGATACTCCAAGCGTTTGCTCTGCCTCGGCTACATGTTTATTTTTTCAGAATTGTGCCAAAGATCCTATGTGTTTTGCTAATATTGACTTGGCTATCCCCAAGGTCAACGTTGGTGTGGTAACTACAATGATTCAACGAGCTAGAAATGCGCTTCAGTAATATCTCTTTCCTCCTGAGTGTTTGTGTAGTATGGGATGCTGTTTTTTCCATTCGGTTCGTAGTTGTAATTTTTGGTAGAGTTATGTTGGTTGGGTAAAATCATCCCAGTTTTATGCCGATTTGAATAAATTAGGGTTTCTAACTATCTTCATAAAATCGCATTTCCCTCTCCCTCTGTAAATATAAAATAACATCAATGCCGATAACTATAAGTAGTAAATATGATGAAGAATAAAATTCATCAAAATTTGCTTGCATGTTACAGTAAGAGAGAGGGCAAGAAAACATTATTTTTACTTTGTAGGGAAAAGCACTTGCTCCATTGGCTCTCAAAACTAAAATGTATGATTTACAATTTGCATACATGCTTGTTCCATAATCTCATGTGGCTTAGTTTACAATGAACTTGTAAGTGTGCTAGCTAGCACCTTCTTTTTAAAGCTTAAAGGTTAAAAATATCTATGAGTTGGGTTTAATGCTGTATTCTGTGATATAGGATCATTCAACTGATGGCATTAATCTTTCATTAGTACCAATCATGCACTACAATATGCACAATCTTACATATACTCCAACTTTAGGTCTATTAAGCTTGTTGAACTACCACCTGATCCAGCAGCTGAGCTATTGTTAAACAAGCAAACAAAGCAAGGAAAGAAATCATCTATCTTGAAAAGCTCTTTCTTGGGTTCTTTGAGTGCCAATGGTGGTGCACATGGGTATGTTTTCATTATTTTGGAATGAATGAATTATTATTGTACAAGTATAGAGTATCTATTGACTCCACTCTATGTTGTAACTTCAAGGTCTCACTTGAGAAGGTTGCATCTTCACAATATTAAAATGATGGATAACATATCACTTTTTGCATCATTGTCAGTTTGCCCATCTCTCGTTGATCTCGAAGTTGTGGGTTTGTAAGTTCTTTGATTTGATATTCTTTTGTTGATAAATTTCCCCTTTAGCCTACTTGTTAACGAGACTCTTATATTGTGGGTGTTAAGTATTTTAATATGTATTGTTGTAGGCCTTTGTGCTATAATTCAGAACTAGTTAAATAGTTTTATTGTTTGAGAACCTTTGTTGTTTGTGTTTTTTCAAAATCATAACAAGAGCTTGAGATACCTAGAGAACAATGAAATGGTGACCCCTAACTGAGTCTTTTTTAAGCGCATTCCATGACTTTAGAGTAACCATAGACCTTGAAGTAATTGTAGTTTTTAAAATCTTCCTTAGGTGTTTTTTTTTTTTTTTTTTTCCGAAAATCACTTCTAAGGTCTTTTGAGGTAAAAAAAGATGTTTCCTATATTTAAGCTATTTGTTATAGTACTTATGATATTTTTAATCTATTTATTATAATACTTATGAGAGAAGTTTCAATTTATTTAATATATTTATTATAATACTTATGTTATTTTTATACTTGTTAACTTATTTCTCCTATGTTTACATCTGCTAACCAGTATAATATATAAGTAAATGTTTATTTATGTACTTTTTTATATATTTTAGAAATTTTAGGATGATATAAATTAAGGGTTTTCTCCCCTTATTGTACTGAATATACATAATAGATAAATCGTTAGTTGTCGTGATAAAAAAATTGATTTTTAATTGTTATTCTAATCGTAAACGATACAAATGAATCAAATTGTCATTGGAAAACAAAGATTATAAGACAAAGTTAAAAAAGAACTACTAATTATTCATGATATGTTTTGAATTTTAAGTTTGTATCTATAAAATAAGCATCTTGTAAGGATGGAATTTGAAGAACCGGTTATTGATACCGTGAAGATGAATTATATTTATACGAAATCCTAGCCTTCAGAAATAAATAAAGCATAATAAAAATTTATCTCAAAAACAATTCAAGTTAATTGTTATCTTAGCTTTACTATACATTAAAAAAATCAAGTTTTTTAAACTTAAGTTTTTTAATACAGTCTGCAGACATTAAAAAAGTCTTTTTCTTGCAGACTAGATACCGTTTAGTAAACACCACCTTAATGAACAGCAATATTGTTTTATGTGTTGCATGCATGGTCATTAAATAAGCTGATATCACTTGTTGTATGTATTTGGCTTCCTTCAATGCACTTGTTTATTGTCAAGTACTAAAAAACTTTCTTGACAAATAGGGATGTTAATGTGAGTCCTACACTGGAGTTTGTGAGTAGACATTGTTGCTTGATAGAGCGTTTTGTCTTTGATCATTTAAAGTCAAAGGACTCCGTGGGTGGTGCTTTTCGCATGTTAGAGCGTCATCTCTTTGATGGTCTGTCTAAATTTGGTTGATGATTTTTCTTTAATATTTGGAAAGAGAGTGTAGGATCATTTCAGTGAGATCTCTAATGCAGATGAAGGAGATTTTATAGAAAACTCGGCCTGCAAAGAGTTTGTGCTTAATTGCCCTAAGATAACCACTTTGGCACTGAAAGGATGTAGACTGAGTGATTACAATGCTCACAAGCTGTTGAAGGTATTCATCTAGACGTGTTTCTGTTATTTGCTCATATCTTCCTTATTATGATGTGTTAATCTCTGTTGGCAGGGTTTCACCGGTTGAAATATGTCGACTTTTCAACATCTTGTTTCTTCTCTGGTTCCTTTTTAAAGTGAGTAACATATAATTAAGTCGAAACCTTCAACTCGTATTAATTTATATCCATCTTCTCCTTCATTGATCAATGGGTTGTAAAGTTTTTTATTTATTTGAAATAGTCAGTTGCTATTTTTACTGGCGATGTTTTCTATTCTTTAGGTGCAAATAGTTGGTGGTAGTAGTTGAAGGAACTTGCTTACAAATTACTTCTTTCATTTCTATGTTGTGGGGAATATTCATTGTTATTTTTTTTCAACCTTACTTATGTAGTTTTCCATCAATCACAGTACTCTTGGCAGCAAAGGTGATGGAAATAGTTTGGAGGTCATGATTTTACGCAACTGTTCAAGACTCAAAAAAGTAAGAATATTTGTCCTTTTTTTTTAAATAACCTTTTTGTCTATCTTTCATCCCAATCCCCTAACACACGTGTCATGGCCTCATGGGCAGGTGGAGGTTAAGAAGTTGATGAAATCTCTTCTTGCAGGAAAGTTCAGGCTCCTAAGGCATCTTGTGTGTCTGATTTTCTGTTTTTTTTTTTTTTTTTTCCTATTACTGTTGCATGAATTAGTTTATGTAAAATTTCTTTTTCCAAATTCTTCAAACTGAATAATATTTATCATGTGTCCCTTAAAGGTATAGCATATAATGATCACTTGGAGGATAGACATTATGGTGTGAGGTGCGATGGATTATTCCTTGCTGCCTTGCCCTTTCTGTGTAAATTTTTTTCTTACCACTTGTCTTGTCTTGTGCAGTTCCATTCTCATAAAGCAACTGTTGGAACAAAGGCCTAATTTCTGTTTCGTACCTGAATTTCCCAAACTCAATTTGGTGAATCATATGACGGATGATGTATTTATATATTATTACTACTGTGAATAAATTTGAAGTTACATTGATATTGAACAAATCATGACTAAGTGATTTTGAACACTCTTCCTTTGCAGTTAAGCAGCCCTACATCTGATGCATCATCCTCCACGAGCACATCCACATCATCTGATGCATCATCCTCCACATCCACTACATCTGATTCATCATCCTCCACGAGCACATCCAGTAGCAGTTAAATAGTGATTTTGAGTAGCGGTAACTGGGTGATTTGGATCGGATAATATGGTTTGGATATTTGGATTGGTTTTGATTAAACCAAATTATTATTTTAGATTTAAGATCGATTTTGGTTAGTAAAATGAAAACATAATAGTCTAAACAATGAATAACGGCGTCATATTTATTTATTTATCGTTTATTATTAGTAATACGTATCTTCAATCATTCATTGTTTATTATTAGCTATTAGTAATACGTTCTCTTCAATCATTCAGGTATGTTTGGTCAAAAGTAGAATAAGCCAAGCAACCAGGCCGGTCCATTCTTTTTACTACCCAGGGCGAGACAAACTTTTTATGCCCTTGTATATGTACCGTACGATAGAGAAAAACATATATATAAAAAATTATAAAAACAAAATGCGGAAACTTTTATAACCAAACAAATAATACAAAACAAAACCTACAAAAAAACTTCACGAATGTTTTCGTGCTAAAAGCAAAAATCTATTTTAGAATGGTCAATATTTAAAAAAAAAAGTCACTTTCAATACTTAAAATTGATAATTCATTCATCTTTCTTTAGTTTATCGTACTTCGGAGATATGATTTCAAAAGCTTCAATTTTAAACGTCTGATGGTTGGTAGTTTTTCGAGGAAACATATTTAAAAACTTAACAAATCTAGTTATAAAAGCTAAATAATGAAAGATACAACATAACTAGATTTTTTAGAAATAAGGCCTCCAGAAATCATATATTTGATTAGAAATGATCTTTAAGCAGCAAAGTCAGAAGATAGCACCTGTTACACATAACATAAACAATAACACAAAAGTTCAGAAATAATATTTAGACATCAAATATTGAATATAAACATATTTCAAATAAATTCACCAAAATCTTAAAATCTTGTTTCTGAAACAGTATATACAAATCTTATTTGCTGGAACAATAGAGAAATCTAATACAAATTTGATTTCAGAGCTTAAACTTAGTGAAAACAGTAGATAAATCACCCAATATGATTTCAGAAACACTAGAGAAATCAGATACAAAAAAACAATAACTATAAATCTGAGAGAATAAAGAAGAAAAAAAATACTTATATATAAGAATAAAATAAGATTTCTGAAAAAAACTACATAAAACAAATTTCGAGATTAAAACCTACCCAAATGATTTCTGAAACAACAATTTCGAGCACAAACACAACTAGAGGAGAAATCGGATTTGGTTTCTGAAAAACTGAAACAGCAGGTAACCAACTAGTTTCAAATGATTTTTGAAACTGTAATGCCCCGATTATCGAATATCAATTTATGGTGATAAATTCTCATGAATTCAAGGTCTACTCGACGAGTTGGTTGCCTGACTCGTCGAGTAGCAGCGGGTTAGGCCGCGCACTTAAGTGACCTACTCGCCGAGTCCAAGAAGGGACTCAACGAGTAGGAGCTGGAGGATGAAACCCTAAATTCCGGGGTTTTGCACCCTATTTAAAGAATCATTTGCCCCTTAGCCTCCCTTTGCACCCTAGAGAGTTCAGCAAAACCCTAATACGTGTGTGTGCTCCATTTGTGTGTTTCAAGCCTTGGAAGAATTCTTAGAGAAAGGAACTTGAAGATCAAGTAGCTAGCAGCAAGAGCTTGTGTGGACCTGAAATCTACCTCTGTTAGCACCATTTGAAGGTGTTGGAGTTGGAGCTACATTTGGAGGAGTTTGACACTACCTTCCGAGCTACTTACGAGGTGAGTTATCCTCACTATATCAACAGGGTCTACGGCACCAAGGTCGGCCCTTTATCAGACTTGTATCCGTGTATTTGCATGATATGTTTATTGATATGTTAGAGCCGCGTCCTGGTAGTTAGGACGGTATTATGTTAGTGACCGGTTTAGGTCGGTATCCTGGTATATAGGATGATTTCTATGTTAGTGACCGGTTAGGTAAGTATCCTCGTTATAGGATGTTGCTATGCCATATGATCTGTTAGATCGTTTGTTTTTGTCTATAGACTGTTTGTGATTATCTTTTTTATGTGCACATGGTGGTTTTGAGTGGGGGTTGGGTTGAGGCGGGTCCTGCTTTGTGCTGTAGGCCAACATACCCAGGGGCGGACCGGATAGACTGCAGACCCGGGAGGGCGCTTAGTCAGGCCGAAGGCCCAGCGAGCGGTCCGGATAGGCTGAAGGCCCCGAAGGGCGGTCCAGACGTCCGAGGCTCGGAGAGTGGGCCAGATAGACTGAAGGCCCGGTGCGGGCGGACCAGTCATACTGTAGACTCAGAGATTGGACCAGGTGGACTGAAGGCCCGGTGCGGGCGGACCAGTCACACTGTAGACTCGATATGCATGGTTGTTCTGTATTTGTTGATATGATATGATTATGGTTGTATGAGGTTGGTATTTTGGGGGTAACTCACTAAGCCTTCGAGCTTACATTTATCGATTATTGTTTCAGGTACAACGGCTGACTGCGGGAAGGCGAAGGTGTGACCGTACACTTCCTCGATTTATGATTATGGTTTCTGGGAACTCTGATATAAAACTATTTTGGAAACCTTTTTGTAATAACTATTGGTATTTGGAATGTTTTTGAAAGTTTAAATTTAGCACGAATTTTATGGGTGTTACAGAAACAAAAATATGAGGTGGTTATCTGACGTGGAGGGGTGCTTCTTCACATGTTCCTGTCCTACTGACCAGAAGGTCAGATGTGTCCTGAAACTGCTGAGGTCTGGGGCAAAGGACTGGTGGAGACTGATGACTGGGTCATATTCGGATGAGCAGAGAGTTGTTGTTGCATGGGAGCAATTCAGGGATATGTTCCGCTCCCGCTACATTCCACGAGTCGAGCGTAAACGGCTAGCTCAGGAGTTTTTGGAGTTGAGACAGGATACAGAGTCGGTGACGGAAATCACCCGTATGTTCACTGAGAGGGCTATGTTTTGCCCGGAATTTGCTTCCGAGCAGGCTCAGATGACATGTTATCTGAGCATGCTCAAGACTTACATTATACAGTTCGTTGCTACAGGAGGCCACCAGGCGGCGTGAGTTACAGGAGGCCACCAGGCGGCGTGAGTTAGATATTGAGTTACAGTTGAGAGAGCAGAGGCAGGCCCCGGTGCAGTCGCAGCCGGCGCCAAAGTGGTCCAAGACCGCTGATTTCAGGGTTGGAGGACAGAGCAGCCGCACTTGTGAGAAGTGTGGGAAGGGTCATTCTGGAGTTTGTAGGTTCGGGGGTGCGTGCCGCAAGTGCGGAAAGGGGGGGCACTATGCGAGGGATTGTCGCCAGGTGGCCCCGGTTCAGGACATGAGGATTTGCTATCACTGCCACCAGGTTGGTTACGTGAAGACCAACTGTCCACAGGTTGTTGCTAGACCAGTGTAGGCTCCAACACCGGCTACATTGAGGATTACTGGCGGGGGACAGGGTAGGGCAGAGCCCTCGAAAGCTCAGGGACGTGCCTTCCAGCTTACGGCAGATGAGGTCGGGACAACACCAGATGCGGTTGCGGGTACATTTCCATTCTTATCTTACTGCTTATGATTATAATATGAAATTTTTCCTTCTCTTTCTGCATGAATCAGTTGAATATAGGAAGGTCAGGGGAGTTTAGTATCGAGGAGTTGTAGACGGTTAGGATCCAGGGATGTTTGAGAATGGGAAGTTAGGATATTGAATCACTATTCCAGGGCCGGTAATTGTGAGTTGGAGATGCAGAAGTGTCAGCTGGGATTCGGGTTCTTCTGAAGTCCGGCGGCTCAGCCAACGCAGGAGGGGTTTCGCTGTGGAGCCATTCGTTTCAGGATTCATCGGTCTATGGGAAGTGTGGAAATGCTCGGTTTGGAACGGTTAAGTGAGTTTTTGATTTCGCCACTAGTAGGTAGTGGTTAGTGTCCCAAGTGGGGGAGAATTAGAAATTCTCATAGGGAGCATCGATCATTGAGGGTTCGGTTAGCTGCCAAGGTCAGACAATACATTCAGCATGAGAGTGCGGGTTATTTAGCTTATGAGGTAGACACGCGGGTCAGGGAACAGACCACGGAATTCCGAGAGGGTAGACGATCGGCATGTGGCCTAGGGTTAGGTCGGGGTTATAGACCCCAAAATAGATCCGGAGTTCGAAGCCCAAGTGGGTTAGAACAGGATGCATGGGAGAGAGCATCGGGAGGGGTGGTCCAGGGAGATGCTCAACAGTTAGAGCAGTTCGGATACACTGAAGGCCGGTGGGGAGTACCAGTCAGACCGAAAGCTCGGGGAACGGTCCAGACAGGCTGAAGGCCCGTAGAGGCGATCCAGACATGCTGAAGATTCTGAGAGTGGTCCAGATAGGATGAAGGCCTGGTAAGGCGGTCCAGTCATGCTGAAGACTCTGTATATGTTTGTAGATCTATGTTCGGGTATTGAGTAGGCTGCTACGCTATAGCAATCAATAGGTCTGTTCCAAGTATTAAACATTCTGTTGGAGTAGGTTGAGGACTCCGGTGTATTTTGTTTGATTGGAAGTTGTTATTAGAGGACAAAAGGAGTTCAAAGGATCTTTGTGATCTCATTAGTTCGGAGTGTCGCCGAGGTTCCATCTTTTTGGATCGGATAATACTCCAGTTGGAGACTGAGAGTGGATCCGAATGAGTATTCGTTAGTTTGGGAAGGTTTGGGATTAGAATGTTCCGTCATTCAAGTTCTGGGAACCGGGTTAGATCTTTTCTTAATCGTTTATGGCATTGGGATGGGGTTGAGGTGGTCCTGCGCTATGCAGTAGGCTAAGATACCCGGTGCGGACCGACGATGAGTCGTAGGCATATAGGTTCCAGGGAGAGCGGTAGGATTGAGGCAGTAGGCCAAGATAACCGGTACGGGCCGTCGGTAAGTCGTAGGCACATGAGTTCAATAGAGGAGCGGGCTTTGGGACAGGAGGTTAGCGGACCAGGGCGGTCCGGATAGACTGAAGGCCTGGTAAGGCGACCCAGTCAGAACAAACGCCAGACGAGCGGATCGGGGAGGTTGTAGGCCCTGAAGGGTGGTCCAGTCATTCTGAAGGCTCGGTGTACGATAGTTTTTGTAATCTATGAAGGCACTGAATTGCAGCAGCAACAGATAATATCCGATCCTGTTTTGGTGGGAACCTCGAATTATCAGGATTGGGTGTAAGTGGTATGGAAGTGACAACGGT